TACAAAAAACGTGATAACAGATATTATTTATGAATTTTAGTAAACAAATCTGAAGAAGTTTCACTTCAAAAAATTTAGAAGTTGCTTTTATGGCATGTGGGGTATCATTTAAAAGGTCTTGAAGAGTAGAATACGATTTTATATAAAAAACGTTGATAACAGATATTATTTATGAATTTTAGTAAACAAATCTAAAGAAGTTTCACTTCAAAAAGTTAAGAATGTGCTTTCATGGCATGTGGGGTATCATTTAGAAGGTCTTGAAGAGTAGATACTATTATATATATAAAAACGTGATAATAGATATTATTTATTGCTTTTTTTATGAATTTTAGTAAACGAATCTAAAGAAGTTTCACTTCAAAAAGTTTAGAATGTGCTTTTATGGCATATGGGGTATTGTATAAAAGGCTTGAAGAGTAAGAATACGATTTTATATATAAAAACGTGACAAGAGATATTATTTATTGCATTTTATATAAATTTTAGTGAATGAATCTAAAGAAGTTTTACTTCAAAAAGTTAAGAATGTGCTTTTATGGCATGTGGAAATCATTTAAAAGATCGTGAAGAGTAAAATACGATTTTATATATAAAAACGTGATAATAGATATTATTTATTGCATTTTTTATGAATTTTTTGTAAACTAATATAAAAAAGTAATTTTACTTCAAAATTAAGAATACGCTTTTATGGCATGTGGGGTATCATTTAAAAGGTCTTGAAGAGTAGAATACGATTCTATATAAAAACGTGATAATAGATATTTTTATTGCATTTTTTATTAGTTTTAGTAAACGAATCTAAAGAAGTTTCACTTCAAAAAATGTAGAAAGTGTTTTTTCTGGCATGTGAGGTATCATTTAAAAGGTCTTGAAGAGTAGAACACGATTTTATCAATAAAAACGCGATAACAGATATTATTTATGAATTTTTAGTAAACGAATATAAAGAAGTTTTACTTCAAAAATTTTAGAATGTGCTTTTACGGCATGTGGGGTATCATTTAAAAGGTCTTGAAGTGTAGAATACGATTTTATAAATAGAAACGTGATAATAGATATTGTTTATTGCATTTTTTATGAATTTTGGTAAACGAATCTAAAGAAGTTTTACTTCAAAAAATTTCTTGAAGAGTAGAATACGATTTTATGTATAAATACCTGATAATAGATATTATTTATCGCATCTTCTATGAATTTTAGTAAACGAATCTAAAGAAGTTTCACTTCAAAAAATGTAGTATGTGCTTTTATGACATGTGGGATATCATTTAAAAGGTCTTGAAGAGTAGAATACGATTTTATATATAAAAACGTGATAATAGATATTGTTTTATAGGTATATTTTATTGGTATATTGTTTAATAGGTATTGTTTATTGCATCTTTTATGAATTTTAGTAAACGAATCTAAAGAAGTTTCACTTCAAAAAGTTAAGAATGTGCTTTTATGGCATGTGGGGTATCATTTAAAAGGTCTTGAAGAGTAGAATACGATTTTATATATAAAAACGTGATAATAGATATTATTTATTGCATATTTTATGAATTTTAGTAAACGAATCTAAAGAAGTTTTACTTCAAAAAATTTAGAATGTGCTTTTAGGGCATGTGGGGTATCGTTTGAAAGGTCTTGAAGAAACAATCTGAAATATGTGATAAATTTCCATTTGCTGTAAAAATGTCACTTTTTCTTTAATTTTCAAGTTTGAGTCTAAAGAAGCTTTACTTCAAAATGAAAAATGATGGTGAGGTATATGTCTATATACGAGGTCTGTTCAAAAAGTACCCGGAATTTTCGTTTTTTCAAAAAAATATTTATTTATTCGTCTACATTAATGTGGTCCCCTTCAAAGTAGTCCCCCCCAGATATAATACACTTATGCCAGCGTTTTTTCCAATTTTCGAAGCACCCTTGATATTCACTTTTTGATATGTCCTTGAGCACTCTCAGCGATTTTCTTCAATCGAGGAAAACCGCCGTCCTTTCATGGGTCTCTTCAACTTTGGGAATAGGAAAAAGTCACACGGAGCCATATCTGGTGAATTTTTGCACTTTGCAACACTTTATTTCATTTTTTACGCAAAATTTAATACAAATTCTTTGACTTTTCAATTCTTCCATTGTAAAAATCGCCGAGCTCAGAAAAACACGTCGAACCTTAGCGACTACCACAGACAAAGTAAACAGTGAATATAGCTGAAAATTTCATCATACTTTAGGGGCATGTATACCAACACAATAAAAAAAAAATTTTGACAATCAGACACTCCAGACCCGCGAAATTTAATTATTAGTAATTCCGGGTACTTTTTGAACAGACCTCGTATGTATTTAATAATTATTATTTTTATTATTTAGATATGCTCGGCTTCGTGAAGCTGTTGAAGAATTGACTGAGGAGCGTAAAAAGGAGCGAGAGTCTCTAAGAGAGAAGAAAGAGAGAGAAGGAAACGAGATGAGGAAAAGGACACAAGAAGGCGAAAGGAAAGGAGAGGTCTAGAGAGAAGGAGAGAGATGATAGGAAAAGAGACAGGTAATAAATTATAATAATAATGTTATTGATAAATGTTAATTTTTGTTATTATGAGAGTTTTTGTTGAAGCCTTTTTTTGGGATTAATTTTATCGTGTTTATTATTTAGGTCTGATAGAGATGACAAGAAAAGGAATAATCGTGAGAAGCGTGATGACTACGAGAGAGAGAGGGACAGGAGTAGGAGAGATTACAAGTCTGAACGAAGTAAGTATCTAGTTTACCTAAACCTTTGTACAAATTACCTAATTCTACACACTTTTATTTTGATTTTAGTATACTAGTCTTAAGAAGTTTTACTTCAAAAAATTTTGATTGTGTTCTTATGACTTGTGGGGTATCATTTGAAAGGTCTTGAAGCATATAATACGATTTTATATATAAAAACGTGATGAATACGACCATGTTACAATATTATAACATTAAATTTTATTTTAAAGCATATTAAAATATTTTTAATGAGCTTTGAGTCATACTCTTTGAGTAGTACTCTACTTTGACATCAGTTTTGAGTCTTACTTTAAATTTTGTATCAAATACTAACCATTCACACCATTGTTTGTAAAAAATATACACTTTTATTCCATTCTTAGTATACTAGTCTAAAAAGTATTACTTCAAGAAATTTTGATTGTGTTTTTATAGCTTGTGGGGTATCATTTGAAAAGTCTTGAAGAGTATAATTCGATTTTATGAATAAAAACGTGATAAATAAGACCATGTTATAATATTGAAACAATATTGAATTTTATTTCAAAGCATATCAAAATGTTAAAGATTTGAGTCATATTAGTCATCACCTTTGAGTCTTACTTTAAATTTTGTATCAAATACTAACATTTACACCATGATTTGTAAAAAAAATATACCCTTTTATTCCATTTTTAGTATACTAGTCTAAAGAAGTTTTACTTCAAAAAAATTTATTGTGTTTTTACATCATCATTTTAAAGGTCTTGAAGAGTATAATACGATTTTATATATAAAAACGTAATAAATACGACCATGTTACAATATTGAAACAATATTAAATTTTATTTCAAAGCATATTAAAATGTTAAAGATTTGAGTCATATTGGTCATCAGCTTTGAGTCTTACTTTAAATTTTGTATCAAATACTAACATTCACACCATAATTTGTAAAAAAATATACACTTTTATTCTATTTTTAGTATACTAGTCTAAAGAAGTTTTACTTCAAAAAATTTTGATTGTGTTTTTATGGCATGTGGGGTATCATTTGAAAGGTGTTGAAGAGTGTAATACGATTTTATAAGTAAAAACGTGATTAATAAGACTATGTTACAATGTCAAAATATTAAATTTGATTTCAAAGCATATTACATTTTTTTAAATTAAAGTCATACTTATACATCAGTTTTTGAGGTTACTGTAAATTTGTCTCAAATACGATATGATTTGTAAAAAATATACGAGGTCTGTTCAAAAAGTACCCGGAATTACTAATAATTAAATTTCGCGGGTCTGGAGTGTCTGATTGTCAAAATTTTTTTTTTATTGTGTTGGTATACATGCCCCTAAAGTATGATGAAATTTTCAGCTATATTCACTGTTTACTTTGTCTGTGGTAGTCGCTAAGGTTCGACGTGTTTTTCTGAGCTCGGCGATTTTTACAATGTATGATGAAATTTTCAAAGAATTTGTATTAAATTTTGCGTAAAAATGAAATAGTGTTGCAAAGTGCAAAAATTCACCAGATATGGCTCCGTGTGACTTTTTCCTATTCCCAAAGTTGAAGAGACCCATGAAAGGACGGCGGTTTTCCTCGATTGAAGAAAATCGCTGAGAGTGCTCAAGGACATATCAAAAAGTGAATATCAAGGGTGCTTCGAACATTGGAAAAAACGCTGGCATAAGTGTATTATATCTGGGGGGGACTACTTTGAAGGGGACCACATTAATGTAGACGAATAAATAAATATTTTTTTGAAAAAACGAAAATTCCGGGTACTTTTTGAACAGACCTTGTACACTTTTATTCCATTTTTAGTACATTAGTCTGAAGAAGTTTTACTTCAAAATTGAAGAATTGAAAAGTCAAAGAATTTGTATTAAATTTTGCGTAAAAAATGAAATAGTGTTGCAAAGTGCAAAAATTCACCAGATATGGCTCCGTGTGACTTTTTCCTATTCCCAAAGTTGAAGAGACCCATGAAAGGACGGCGGTTTTCCTCGATTGAAGAAAATCGCTGAGAGTGCTCAAGGACATATCAAAAAGTGAATATCAAGGGTGCTTCGAAAATTGGAAAAAACGCTGGCATAAGTGTATTATATCTGGGGGGGGACTACTTTGAAGGGGACCACATTAATGTAGACGAATAAATAAATATTTTTTTGAAAAAACGAAAATTCCGGGTACTTTTTGAACAGACCTTGTACACTTTTATTCCATTTTTAGTACATTAGTCTGAAGAAGTTTTACTTCAAAAAATTTTAATAGTGTTTTTATAGCATATGGGTTGCTTTTGAAAGTCTTCAGGAGTAGTATGTGAATTATGTGATCAATTTAATCGTGGTAAGAAGTGTCAAGGGATTTTAAATTTTTAAGTTATTTCTAAAGAAGTTTTACTTCAAAAAGGTTATTCTTTATGCTTTAATGGCATGTGGGGTGTCGTTTGAAAGGTCTTGGTTTGAAATAGAATATGAATACCAATTTAAAATTTAAATATTTCAAAGTTTTATTTATAAAACTTTATTTTTTTACATTTTTGAACATAAACATTTTTGAAACATGAGCCAAAATGATTGAAAACGTAATTATGTTATAATTGAATTTGGGCATAATTATAATACATATAATAATATTAAATATACATAAATATGTTCAATCTTTTTTTGTATTTGTCATCAACAAGCTTAAAGAAGTTTTACTTCAAACAATTTGGAAACTGTTTTTATGGCATGTGGTGTATTATTTGAAAGGTTTTTGAGTGAAATATAAGTATTGAAATAAAATTTTGAATTATCTAAAAAAAAATTACTAAAACTTCACATTTTTATAAAAAAATATTGACTTTGAAAAAGTGAGGACTTCATAAATATTTGTAATGTGACTTGAGCATAAATATAATAGGCATAATAAATAAGAAATTCACAAATTTAAATTAATGATTAAATTGTTTTATGAATTTGTAGTAAATGAATCTAAAGAAGTTTTACTTCAAAACCTGTAGAATGAGCTTTTGATGGCATGTGGGGTATCGTTTGAAAGGTCTTGAGAATTAGAATACGATTTTCTAAATAAAAACATGATGCAAATTATTATTTACACTTATATTGCAATTTTTTATAAAATTACAGTAAATGAATCTAAAGAAGTTTCACTTCAAATATTTAAGATGTGTTTTTTTGGCATATGGGGTATCGTTTAAAAGGTCTTGAAGAATAGAATACGGTTTTATAAATAAAAATGTGAGAGATCTTATCATTTAAACGTTTATTGCATATTTTATGAGTTTTAGTAAACGAACCTAAAGAAGATTTACTTCAAAATATTTAGAACGTGTTTTTATGGCATGTGGGGTATCCTTTCTAAGGTCTTGAAGAGTAGAATACGATTTTATGAATAAACTCATGTTACATATTATTATTTACACTTTTATTGCTTTTTTATAAATTGTAGTAAACGAATCTAAAGAAGTTTTAATTCAAAAAAATAGTGTGTTTTGTTTAGGCATGTGGGGTATCATGTAAAAGGTCTTGGGAATTAGAATACGATTTTATAAATAAAAACACGATACAAACTATTATTTAAAAGACTATTAATTTAAACTATTATTTAAAGAAGTTTTACTTCAAAAAGTTAAAAATGTGCTTTTATGGCATGTGGGGTATCATTTAAAAGGTCTTGAAGAGTAGAATACGATTTCATAAATAAAAACGTAATAAATCTAATCATTTATACGTTTTTTGTATCTTTATAAATTTTAGTAAACGAATCTAAAGAAGTTTTACTTAAAAGTTTTGAATGGGCTTTTATGGCATGTTGGGTATCATTTCAAAGGTCTTGAGGACTAGAATACATCTAGTTTAATCAATAATTTAATATACATTTTTTTCATATTATTAATTTATTTTCTTTTCATCAGGTTCATCCCATCGAGAGCGTCATAGAAGTCGCAGCAAAACACGTCACCACTAAGAATCTCCTTCGTCTCCGTTGTTGTCCTCCTGTAGATACTCCAGCACCACTTCTTTTTCTTCTTTGCCGATTGCCTGGAACCTTCAAATTAACTTTAGTAAGAGACCCACCTACCAGGTAAGTGTCTGAAAACTGGTTTTACATCAGTTTTTGTTTTTTTTGTACTTTATTCATTACAGATTAAATCATATTCAGGTTAGTCTTTCCAAAACGTTTATATAAGGGTTTCTAATTGTTATAATTTAATTTTAAGCTAAGGATTGGGGGTGTAAGACTTTTGGTGCCAGCTTTCGTTTTCTTAATCCAACAGGGTAAAAGAAATTTAAAAACGTTTTTCTTGTGATAGAAATATTTAAAAGTTGTTGATAGTGATTTAGTACTACTTTGTGGTAGACCGTGTTTATAAAGTACTTTTATTTTTATTATACTTTATTAAGGTAAATTTAATTCTAATTAAATTTTACTAGCATCCACAAAGTAATTTTACTAAGTATTACTAATGCAATCTAGACACAATTTCTATTAAGGGTAACTCACTTTGCGTCGTTTTGTTTTGCGTTTTTTTTGCCTAATTAAAAATTTTCACACCATGTTTTCATAGGATTTGAACCATTTCTTTTGTTTTTTTTTCAATTGGAGACCGTTATGAAATTTTTTTTTGATGAAGAATTACAATAACTTTCTTCGAGCCAATGAACAAGGTGACTCTGACCAAATTTAAATCCAACAACATGTTTATATTGACAGTGATATACATTATTTTTAAATGGCAGTGAAAGGAGTTTTAAAGTCTCATTGTAGATAGAAAAATAAAAAACTACAAAATTATTTTACGTTGAAAATGAAGCACAGTTTTTAAACAGTTTTAGAGAATGCACAACATTTTTACACAATTTACAGCATTTCGAGATAATCTGCAACATTCTCAGACAATCTGCAATATTTTCAGACGGTATGTAATATTTTCAGACAATATACAATGTAACATTTTAGACAATATACATTGTTTTTTAGACAATTTAAAGACAATGTAACATTTTTAGATGATATCAATGTTTTCAGGCATTCCACTGTATCTTCACACAATTCACACTATTTTCAGACAATTTTGATCATTTTTAGACAATTTACAACGATTCTAAACAATCTACATTTTCAGACAATTTACAACATTCAAAAAAAATCTACAATGTTTAATGTGTGTTTGTGTTTAATTCAGACAATTTTAATCCTTTTAAGACAACTTTGATTATTTTAAGACAATCTACATTTTCAGACAATCTACAACATTCTCAAACAATCTACAATGTTTATTGTTTGTTTCTGTTTAATTCAGATGTTTAATTTAAACATAAATCTAAAACATCTTTAGACAATCTGCAACGTTTTCAGACAATCTAAAGTATTTTCATACCATTTACAACATTATAAGATAATCTACAACGATTTTAGACAATCTAATTTTCAGACAGTCTGCAACATTTTAAGACAATATACCTTTTCAGGCAGTCTGCAACGTTTTCGGACAATATACAACATTCTCAGATGATCTACAATGTTTTCATTTTAGGACATATACAACGATTATCAGGCAATTTTCAAACAATCTACAGTATTTTCATACAATTTACAATATTGTAAGACAATCTACATTTTCAGTCAATCTACAACATTCTCAGACGATCTAAAACTTTTTCAGATAATTTACAACATTTTCAGATAATCTATAATGTTTTCAAATTATCTGCAACATTTTCAGGCAGTCTTACAATATCTTTAGATAAATGTAAGACAATATACAACGATTATCAGACAATCTACAACATTTTCAGAGAATTCATAACATTTTCAGAAAATTTGCAACATTTTCAGGAAATCACTTAATTTTCAGACAAATTTAATCATTTTAGGATAATATACAACGATTATCAGACAATATACAACGTGTACCAGACGAAAATCTACAACATTTTCGGACAGTTTATAACATTTTCAGACGATCTACAGTATGTTCATACAATTTACAACATTGCAAGACAATCTATATTTTCAGACGATCTACATTGTTTTCAGACAAACTAGAACACATTCACAGACGATCCACCACGTTTTCAGACAAACTAGAACACATTCACAGACGATCCACCACGTTTTCAGACAATTTACAACATTTTCAGATCATCTACAATGTTTGCAGACTAATTGCAACATTTTTAGACAATCTCACAACGTTTTCAGACAATCTCTGCAACATTGTCTGACTATCTGCAACATTTTCAGACAATCTACAGTATTTTAATACAATTTACAACATTTTAAGAGGATCTACATTTTCTGACAGTCTGCAAGGTTTTCAAACAATCTACAACATTCTCAAACAATCGACAACTTGTCGGAGACCTGATTTATAAAATAGGTTTCTTCTAGGTAATAGTTTTTTGCAAGAAAAAATTTTTTCGAGAAAGTTGTTTTTTTTTAGAAAAAAAAAACTAAAATATGAAACAGGACTCTGATATTATAAACAAATTTAGCACAATAACTAACACTATTTTTGCTAAAACAAAAACTTGTTTCAACATTCAACGACGTAGAAATATGGTCTGTATAACTAAATGACTATATTGCAACTTAATCTATATTGGAGAATATTTATATCTTCAACGTTTTCAGCATTCTTAGATAGACAATTTACAACTTTTTCAGACATTTTTTGACCTAGGATGCTTGGAAAAACGTTGACGTTGACTTATCTTAAGGGTAACGGCTGATCGTCTCTAAAACTTTAGTGTCAAACGATTCAGAATGACTTGAACCGTCGAGAAAACACAGAATTTTGTTAGAATTAGCAGCAAGACACAAACGTATGATGGTGATGGTACAAGTTTAGTTATTATTCTTTGGGAAGTTGAAAAAAAAAACGCAAAGCAAAAAGACGCAAAGCGAGATACCTTAAATTACAAGTAATTTACCGTATTAATAGTTTAATTTTATAATGTTTTTTTTTTCATTTGTTTCCCTGGTGGATGAGGAAAACGATGGTATGCACCACAAGCTTGAATAAAAAAAACAACAACAACAAAATTAATATAATTTTAGTCATGTGTTAGTTTTGCAGCCACAAAAAAAAAATGTGTGCGTCACTCCACGATTCAATTTAGTCACACGAGATTACGATATTGGATAGACATGTGTTTTTGAGGTATTTATGTACATTAAACCTTGAACCTTTAACTTTTTAACAATCCACCTTGATCAAAATCTGATGATGATAATAATAATATTTTGTTTTAAGTATTCAAAACCAAAAACCAAATCCCGGTTGGTTACGTTTGTAAAAGGTTTACAGTTGGGGGCATATTTGTTAATGCCAATGATTGAAATGACATTTTGTTTATATTGTATATATAAGACTTTGGTGTTAAGACGTTGTTTATGGATGATGGTTGGTTTACACTCTCGACATGATTGAGGTATTTATTCATACATTTGTTCACATCCATTGCAAGATGGTTTTTATTGCAGGCGAGGGGATGTGGGGGCTCATTGGATATAAATAAATCCATCCTAGACCATGCCTCACTTTGTCTCCTTTCACCAGAACTAATATTTAAAGAGTACATTTAGATAGGTTCCATGATTACTCCTACTCCTTTTAGTAGTTTTGTTTGTAAGATCCTTTCTGGTTGATCCACAAAATAAGATTGATCTTGTTAGTCAGCAGATCTTTCATTTATCATGAAATAAAGCAAGTTGGTCATTGCTTAAATAAAATGTTTTCCAACTACAAATATCCAAAATTTTCTTATTCCAATGTACAATTAAAATGTCAATTTTCAAAATGTGAAATTTTCAATAACATGCGTTCAAGTCTTAAAATGTTTCTTCTTCAAGTTATATGCATTTATAAATGTTTGTTTTTCATGCTTCCAAATTTTAAAATTGCGACACGGGCGTCTGGATCCAAAAAAAAATCTCATTGTTTTTGTCATTAATTTTTTTTAAAACTCTTAAATGCTCTTTTGTGCCTCTAAATCTCTTTAAATATTCTATTTTCTGCGTTCTAATAAATAAATATTTCTTTAATATGCGTCCAAATTTTAAAATTTACAAGGTTAATGTTCAAATCTTAAAATTTTTACCCTTATCCACTCAAATGTTAAAATTTCCAAGATTAGGCGTCCAAATCTTAAATTTTTAAATATTATATGCGTCTAATTATCAAAATCAAAATAATATGCGTCCAATTATTAAAATCCCAGCAATAGTGCGTCCAAATTTCAAAATACATAAATTTAGGTGTTCAAATCTTCAATTTTTTACCCTTATGCATTCAAATGTTAAAATTTCCAATGTTAGGCGTCCAAATCTTACATTTTTAATTGTTATATGCGTCTAATTATCAAATTCAATTTCTTTTTCTGCGTCCAAATAAATTAATATTTCAATAATATGAGTCCAAATATTAAAATCACAGCAATCGTGCGCCCAAATTTCAAAATTCATGAATTTAGGTGTTCAAATTTAATTTTTTTTACCTTTATTCATTCAAATTTTAAAATTTTCAACGTTAGGCGCCCAAATCTGAATGTTATGCGTCTAATTATCAAATCATATTCATTTTCTGCGTCCAGATAAAATTTCAAAAATTATAAATTTAAGTGTGCAAATATTAATATTTATAAATCGATTTAACCCGAACTTAAAATTTGTACCTTTATTGATTTTATATTTTAAATTTTTACTATTATATTATGGTTACATGCGTCCAATTATTAAATTTTTCGGTTGTACGCGTATAAATTCTTAAATTTCTCGGTTTCTCTTCGCGTCCTAATTTCAATGACCAAATATAGGCGTTGAAATTCAAATATATTTTATATTTTGGGCGTCCAAAACTCAAAATATGCGGTTTTGTGTGTTACATTTACATTTTTTACTCTTATATCTCCAAATCTAAAAACTTTGCCATTTAATGCGTTCAATCATTAAATTTTTGCAAT